CATTAAGTTGTTATCAGAGTAAATCCCTGTTCAACATGAGTCTGACAGCTAAGTAAGTAGATAAATAACTTTAAACTTCAACACATGCTCTGATTGGCCGGGATCGGGATTGGAAGTGAAAAAAGCTGGATCGGGATATCCCAAATTTTTTAATCCAGTTGGACGTCTGGGCTTCATGTGGAGTAAAAGCAGCCTGAAACAACACCCTTTTATTTAGCTTTTTGAAAAGTTTTACAGTGTTTTGGTGGGAAACACATCACAGATTAAAGTGGTGTTCCTTCCCAGGGCTTCAGGATTCAGGGAAAAATAATGGAAATCTAACCAGATTCCATGTTTATAACAAGAGGGGGGAGTATTGGTAGCAGAGAGGAAAATTCTACAAAACCAGCAAATAAATAAATGAACAAAAAAAAAAGGAAACAAGATGCTCAAAGAACCAGCTTGTTTGATTTATCATCAAATGATTGAAGTCAAACACAAAAAAATAGAACAAACCGAAAGAATAAGTGCCGAAGAATAAAAATAAAGACACTTTTAAATGTCATTTCATCTATTTCCTTTACAAAACATTACACCGAAAACAGTAAAACGTGACCCATGTCGCTGTTTCCACATCAAAGCAGACGTCAGGATGATGAAAGCCGGCGTGTGTGTTCACTTCTCTGGAAGAATAAAACAATAATTCAAGTTTCTCTTTCTCAAGCTGCTGACGTGCACAATGTGGGGCTGCTCCTTAACACTGATGTTTAAAGGGACATCGTGTAGTATTTAAAGTATTTTATTAGCTAAAATCATTGTCTTCATTTCTAAATGTGTCCTCATTTGGTGTAAAATTACCTCTGCAATCCTTTGACTGTAAAATCGATTTTTGCCTCTGAGATTATAAGTGCGAAGTGCCTCCCGCTCCTGAAAGAGTTTTAACCCTATAATGCCAAACGTATCATATCTGATTCATACGGTTTCTGAAATATTTTGCGTCTGACACCTTTTGCATAATTTAATGGTAAAAACTTTGCTCAAAATCCTATTGTACACAATCAGATACACCTGATAACACGGGGCAGAAGACTACACAAACAATAATCTGGACTTATCGCATAGTAATAAATTAGTAATATTAAAAATGTGTTTTTGTTTTTTTATTTTTACATATTTTGTTAAAAGGCCAAATAAGGAATTCAAACCTAAAAAAAAAATAATTTTCTGTTTTGTTTTATTCTTGGATCAGGCTTTAAAGGGTTAAGACATTTTCTGGAAAAGAGCCAGTTAACCCTCTGAACATTATTTGCGCAGTTCTTAAGTTTACAAGATCAAACAATTTTAAATTGGAAGATTGTAGAAACAATAAATTAGTGGAATGTAAATAATTGACTTTATGAACGATTCGAATGGCTCTTTTTTGCAGCGTAACCAGGGGCTGAAGATTGGTCTTAAAGTTGTTTCCCCAAACTTCGATACAATAATTCAAATACGACATGACTGTCATGGAGTGGGATCTTGGAGGGAGGACTCTGTCACGGAGATTCAGAAAACAGGGTTTATTGGAACAAAAAACGTACTCAAACGGAGTGGATGCGGGAAAATTTCAAAACAAGGCTTGTTTACTCCCGGATCTGAAGGAGGACACGTCAACAGGCAGCAGGTCCCAGGAAACCCCCGGGAAGCTTTTCTGCCTTTCTGCTCTTTTCTGTGGAGGACGCTGAAGACCTGCAGTCCAAATGGAGTCAGAAACCAGGACCTACAGACTCATTCTGGGTCCTACAGACTCATTCTGGGTCCTACGGACTTATTTTGGGTCCTACAGACTCATTCTGGCTAATTCTGGGTCCTACAGACTCATTCTGGGTCCTACAGGCTCATTCTGGGTCCTACAGGCTCATTCTGGGCCCTTCTGGGTCCTACAGGCTCATTCTAGGTCCTACAGACTTATTCCGGGTCCTTCTGGGTTCTACAGGCTCATTCTGGGTAGAAACTGGGTCCTACAGGCTCATTCTGGGTTGCATCTCAGAGCTTTTGAGGCTTTTCTGCCTCTCTGTTCTTTCTGTGGAGGACGCTGAAGAGCTGGAGTCCAGCAGTGGAAACTGCTGGTTGCAGAACATGTGAGCCGTTTGTTACCAAAAGCCCGTTTTTAGTCTTTTTCATTTTTTTGCTGTGATGTGGAATTCTCTCGAAAATAGAAAAGATGGAGGATTCTTACCAGTGAATAGAGAGCGTATATTACAAGTAACGTCAACGGTAGCCCTAAGATGATCACAATCCATGCAATCACATATGGGGCCCAAAGCATAGGGTTATCGCTCCAGTACACTTCAAACTCTTTAAAAAATGTGTCATTTACACAATATTCATAATAGTCTTAATATTCATAGTCGTCCACCCGCGAGTCGTTGTAATCTTCCATATCTGTGTCTCCTGAAACAAAAATCAAAAGCGTAAAAAAAAGATATTTTGAATAAGCAATTAACTCATTGACTGCCAAAGACGTCTATAGACGTCTTTTATGTTTTCAACGAGAGTGTCTGGGGGACGATCTGCTAAAGCTTGTCCGTAAATATGGGCTTCTAGACAGAGTATGTAGTAACAAACTGACCC